TTTTTGGTTTAAGGCATTGCTGGTAAAAAGGTTAAGGTTCAAACACATACCATGCTTGTAACATTACTATAACAAGTATCAAGACAGAGAATCAATCAATGTCCGTCATACTGCTATTTAGTTTCATTAGTTGTTAAAAACATGTACATCCTATCTCGATGAGTAAATTAACAATTTAATGCCTGGTAATGAGATGACTTTCAAAAATCATAGAATAAATTAGATAATCTCACATCTCAGTAACGTAAAACGTAACACAAATTTGCTTCTTTTATTTACATGATGTTTTCTTTTGCATGTTTTCTTACTTCCTTTCCTAAATATGGGTTGTGTATAGTGTAAAGCAAGAAATACTAACTCCTTGTCCTTCCCCTCTTTATATATTGCTCACAGCTCATGTGTTTGTGTCGTAGTTCTCTATTGGTGGTCCTGTAGGTGTAGGAATTTTGCCCAGACACGCAGGAATGAGGCATTTTTAATCCCTAAACAGGCTGCGTGATTACATATCATCTTTTGAGTATAAGATAATCTGTTGTTTATAATTCACCACTGAGTGACATAGAACATGTACATCTCAGTTCTTGTCACATCTTGGTGTGATTTGTGTTTTAGGGAAAGTATAATAAAGAACAACAAAATTAGAAGCATAGTTGTGTTCACATTGGAGTGTAGGAACATGCATGATTGGTCAAAACTTTGTTCCAATAGAAAGCAGATTCAAACTCTGCACATGCATAAATTGGTATGTGTGAATCCTTGGCACATGCTAAAATCTTAAAGGGCAGTGGTCATTTCCCCACGTCATGTTCGATATGGGACTCATAGCGACGTACACAACACATGTAAAATACATTGTTTAGTTACATGAAATTTAAACATGCACTGCACGATGACCACACCACCCTTTAACCTCAGATGGACACAAGCACAAATAACTCCACAAAAAATATATTGTTAGATGCAAAAGTATGGTATTCTCAGTATCTGGATAAAAGATTATATTCTTTATTATGTAGAAATTTCAACAAGGAGCAAGAAACATGTTTTTCACGAAGGACAAATTCAAACAGACTGAATACCACAATCAAAAGAATAGATTATAGATTTTACTATTCTGTTGTCAATGATCAGTAAAGAATATCATTACAGTAAATAGCATCAGACATGTGCGCAGAACTTGTCTGCTGTGTTTAGGATTTTGGCACAAGCCTAGTGGCACCTGATAACATGAATAATTAACAATTTTCATCACATGCTGAGATCTTGTACATGTAGCATGAACACAACACATGACAGTTAATGTCCACACTGCTAATCATTCAACAAAGCTGCAGCTGCTGTAATAAAAATCACAGATTTATGGTGAAGAAGATTGTATAATAAATCTTGTTTGTAATTAGCGATAATGCATAGCATATTTACGGGGTATGTAGCATTATTTGATAGTTTAAATTTGAGGGGAAAAAATTAAAAAAATTATGGCAAATTCTTGAACATTTTCTGCAATTCAAATCTGTCACTTATTAGACTTTAAACAATTTATACAAATTACTAATTTCTTACACAGGAACTTAAATAAACTTACTATTGGGCCCAGAAAAAAAAATAGATCTGTTTCTGGACTGTTTTTTTTTTGCACAAAGAAAAAAAGGAGGGTGCCTGACGTTGATGGGAAAAAATTTTTTTTTTTTTTTTAAGAACTTTGGAACAAAAACAGATCTTCTTTTTTTTGCCTAGCAATACATACAGCATTAAATTCCACAACTTATAAAGAAAAGGATAATAAAGATTATTTTCACTGAATATAATTATTCCTCAAGTTACTTCAGTTGACAGTAGATGGATGCGTATGTCATCATTGTTCAACAGCTGTATTCTACACCAGTGAAAACATGAGTTATATCATCAACCTGATCAATCTATCATATTTTCTAGCCATCTGTTTTTTTAATGCAAATCAGCATCTATACCTTTATTTCTCTCTTGCAACCTATCATTGTGCCACACCTACATTCTCAGTACCGTCCATCTATTAAAATAGCTCAACACGAACACTCAGGTCCTGTGGGTCGATTCTTCTTTTTCACGAATTACCTATCATGAGAGCAGTTTCAAAATTAGTTCTATAATATATTTATGATGTATATATTACTTTTTTCTCTCTAGGCAACACCAAAACAAAAGCAGCCAAATAGGACTCAAACCACTGTCAATATACCACGGTTTTATTATCCTTTTGGTAAACCTTTACCTCAAAATGAAATTGATGACATGTTATATAAAGTACGAGAAGAATTTGGCAAGGGTAATGATACTAAACTTCATAAAAACCAAATGGGCAAGGTAGCTAAGGTAAGAATTACTCTTCAATTTTCACTGTTCAAAGTTTTGCAGTTTTTGCGTGACTGAAATTCACCAAATTTTATCATGTCTTTTACAGTTGTTATTAATAATATGTATTATGGTTGGTTAGTATATCATAAAATATGTTAGAAATATCATATTTGCTGATTAGAAGCACAATGGTAATAGAGATACTATATTACACAAAAACAGAAAATTGCCTTTTTAGCTCCACTGTCTTTGAAGATGACAGAGTGGAGCTCTTCATTATAGGTCAGTCGTCCGTCAACTTTTTCTTGAAAACTACCAAGATTTTTTACAAGATGACGATTGTAATTACCATGGCAACAAGCAAATTAACTACCATGGTTGTGATATGGCAAGAAGATGGTGTAAACACTAATGACCATGGCAAATAGTTAATATCTCATAGTACAGAGCATTATCAACTTTGTTTTGAGGAAGATACTCTACAAAGCTATTTTGATTGCTAGTTTGTGTGCTAAATCATTTAAATGGGATTGATTTGGACCATAGACACACAATGTTTTTCATGTTAGAACTTCTAATACAGCAAATATGTCTATTCTCTCCATCATTTCGCTAATAGCTACCGTAGAGGTTGGCAAAATATTGCTCACCAAATCAGTTCATGCAGTTAACAGTGAGCGAAATTATATCTTTATAATATGTTTCAGCGAAACATATTAAGGGTTGACCATTTGAAATGGCGGGGGGGGGGGTTTCTTTTCACATACACTTGTGTTTGTGTTTGGAAACTTTTGTTTGCACTTACTTTGATGATTCAGTAGATTCAATTTATCTATATCCACCTACATGTTTGTGTAGTATGTCAAGTACATCAATTATGACAACATCATGAAGTGCATACCAGGTTTTCTTGTTTGGAAAAAACAAACTTGTTTACATTTCTTCATTCTTTCATCAAGTGCATACCAGGGTTGTCCACTTTTTCTTTCTTACAAATCTATAAAATAAAGAAAAAAAACAGTTTATTAATACTGCACCCTTTTCTCCTGAGGTCAGTTTTCTATTATTTACTTTTAATTATTAAATTGCTTTTTGACTCCCGTGTGCGAAGCACAAAAGGGAGTCTTTGCAGTTACCCTGTCTGTATGTCTGTAGGTCTGTATGTATGTATGTATGTATGTCACTTTTTTTGTTCCACCGTTATCTCAAGAACCACTAATCAAATTTTGGTGAAACTTGGTACATAGATGCTCTGGGATAATGCGCAGAGTTGATTAGGTTTTGGTAAAAATCTATGTATATTAATTACCTAATTTGCATGATAATTAGCTGATTTTAAGCTGTTCTATGACTGTTCCACTGATATCTAAAGAACCACTCATTGGATTTTGATGAAATGTGGCACATGGATGCTCTGAACAAATGCGCAGATTTGATTAGTTTTGAGTAAAAATCTGTTAATATTATTAATTACCTAATTTACATAATGATAAATCAATTTTCG